GCAATTTGCTACATGTACGATGCAGTTGTTAAAGCAAGGGAAATTGTTCCATTCTTTATACTATGAGAATATTGATGTTGTTCAAGTCAGGTAAAATCTTGGCAGTATATGTGGGTGTCCGACAAAATATAACTCTCAAGTTGCATACTTTGAAGACACATATTCTCGATATTGTGATACGAAATGAGGCACTCCGATCCACTACATTGTTCTTTGATAAAACATATCCTGTATAAATGCATTCATGCATTTCTACCAGTTTTTCATGTCAACCACAGATGAGCCAGAGGTTTCACGGTCCCTTGGGAGCAAGAACGAATTTAGCGGCATGCGGCGCACTCCCGATTTTGCCTCGTGAGAAGCAAGCCCTCCGTCAAAGCCCGCGTCTGGCGCCACCACGACCTGGACTTGTACGAGCTGTGCTCTCATGGACAATGAGGATCACGCTCGTGGTAGTAGTCCGTCATCGCACAAGAAAAGGGCCCTCGCGTCGTCCTTGTCGTCGTCGCCAAAAACCCAACTGCAGCACGCACCACCATTGAGTGATCCGTTGACGTCCGCAGTGCGAGCTTCGCCTGGTGGAGCCTTCCGGTTTAGTCCGATGGCGCCTTCGTCTGTGACGTATTCGCCATTCCTGATGGAATCGTACCATTTTGCCAACGCGGGTAACGGCACGTCCACTGCCGCGAGCTTTTCGTCACCTGCAAGTTTCTTTTCGGGATGTCCTGACACCGCGAGCGACGACGACATATACAGTTCGTTGTCCCATCTTCCAAGTAGCAGCATCTCCGCTGCGTCGTTGACCGGAAAGACGATGGCGACCCACACACATCCACCCGATCGACACACGCATGCTCGAGGCTCGTCGTTTTCACCAGCATCCCGCGATCATCCTCTGGACGAAATTGACGAGGAGCATGACGACAGCTCTGACGACGACAACGAAATGCACGACTCGTGCCGCACGGATGACCCATCCTCCTTTGCCGGTTTGTGGAACTGCCTCGTCTGCACTCGGCTCAACCAAAACGACCAGTGCGTCTTTTGTGGCCAGGGCAAGGACGCCCCATTTCAACCTGTACGGCAGGTCGACGCTGGCGCTACCGCGCCATCCGAGGCCAAACCCACATACACTGCGATCGGGTACGACGATCGCATGCGTCTCCACCGCGAAGTCCAGGTACCCTCGCTTCACGCAGTGTTGTTCTCGCATGCTCAATGTGTCTTCCAAGTAGCCCCGCGACTTACTCGACGTGCACCCCGAACGACCCGACCGGATTGCAGCTATCTTTGCGCAATGCCAGCACGATGGTCTCGTCCAGCGATGTACGCATGTAAGTCATGTGAACCCGCATCTCCCATCCGCGCTTGTGGTCCAGGTATCGACTTGATGCGCGAATAGATTCCAAGCGTGTTGGTGGACAGATCGGATCTGCTGCGATGCCACGACGACGCGTACTTGGCTCAACTGGACGAGCTGTGCAAGCTCCCGCATCACCACTTGACGCCTGACACGTACTGCTGCAGCGACACGGGAATTGCTGCCCATTTATCGGCGGGCATTGTCTTGTCCCTTGTCGACAAAGTTGTCCACAACCAAGCTCGCAACGGCTTTGCAATCGTGCGGCCGCCCGGCCACCACGCCGAGTCGTCGCATGCGATGGGATTTTGTATGTTCAACAACGTGGCGGTGGCGGCCAAGGCGGCGGTGGCCAAGTTTGGACTGAGCCGCGTGTTGATTCTCGACTGGGATATCCACCACGGCAACGGCACGGAGCACATGTTCGAAGACGACCCGACCGTGCTGTACTGCTCGCTGCACCGGTACGACAACCAAGGCGCATTTTACCCTGGCACGGGGGCCCCCAACAGCGTCGGGTCCGGTGCTGGCGCCGGCTTCAACGTGAACGTTGGGTGGCCTTGTGGCGGGGTCGGCGACGCCGAGTACCTCGCGGCCTTTGACTCGCTTCTCATGCCGATTTTTCGGGCGTACGCACCAGAGTTGGTGCTCGTGTCGGCTGGGTTCGATTCCGCACTGGGCGACCCGCTCGGACGGTGCCGACTAACTCCTCCTGGCTACGCCCACCTCACCCACATGCTGAGTTCGTTAGCCGGCGGCAAGATTGTCTTGGCACTTGAGGTACGCATTGTCGTGTGCGATTGCTGGGCTCGATCGGTTTGGTTTCGACGGTGGCTAGCCACACACGAGCTCGGCAGCGTGTTGTAATGCTTCGACGTGACGTTCATCCGCGGCGGTGGGAACCGTAGGGAGGGTACAACTTGAAGTCGATCGCAATGTCGGCAAGTGCGTGTTTGAGAATACTGCTGGGCGATCCCGTGCCGCTCCTGCCGCCCGACACGGGGCCGCCCATGGCGAGTGCGCTGCACGCCATCGAACGGACAAGGAGATGTTTGCAGCCGTATTGGCCGTGTCTACTCAGTGTGTCGTCGGAGGACGAAGAGGATGCCGACGCCAGCAACGACGACGAAGAAATCAACGACGCAGCGGCCATGGCATCCGACGAGGACGACCGCGCCGAGGCGAGTGCACAAGGACAAGGAAGGAGGCGGCGGCGCACCCGTGTGGACAGCTCGTCGTCGTCGTCGAGTGGCGAGGCCGACGTTAACGCATGGTCGGACGAGATGAAACCCGTCATTGCAGACAAGATGGTGGAGCGTGCAAGGAGATGGGACGAATGGGCGGCCAAGGTCGACGAAGCGGCGCGGCGAGATCCGCAGATCGCTGTGGACTTGCGAGCCAAGATACGAGAAAGCAAACTGCGCCAACCTAAAGTGGCGGCGGCGCATGCCAAACCGCGGCAGCGATACCACCCCTACCCACCCCTTTCCCACTCGTAGATGCCTTCGACTTACGTGATAGAGACCTCCATCGTACTGTTTGAACTGCGTTGGACCCAAAGCCGCACTCGTTCGCCCCCCGCTGCTCTCGTATCCGTGGCGCTTTTGTGGCCACAAGCACCTCGCATGGGGACCGCTGCGGCGGTCCTTGGCAGGGTTTTCACCAAGCCATTGCAAACGCACGCCTTCAGCCGGATGATACGATATCTGCCCTCGATCGTGCATGCACAACCGACATGACATGCCAACAAGTGTCGTGTATTGTTCAAAGTCAGCCCAAAATGGACTCGAGGTCCGCCGACGACATGGCGTGGTGGGATGATCGACGGGGTCGGGACGCCGCCTTGGTGAGGGGGAGCGTCAGAAAGTTGGAGCACTGCAGCATCCGCAGCGGAATCGCGTGGCTACATTTCCAACGACGATGAGGTCGCACGGGGGAGATGTGGTCGCACCCGATCGCTGGGTTCACATTCAGTCGCTGCAGCAGATGGACGACGGCCGTGCGTTGCATGCGGGTGAGGCGCGCGCTCGAGATCGGGTTGGTGGCGTAGTATACGTACGGCAGCTTTTGAAATTGCATGTGGGTTGTCGACCGCGTCGAGCTCGAATGGTTGTGGTATCGCAGCACGAGCTCCAGCACCGTCACGGCCGCGCCGCCGTCCGCTGCCATGCGAGACAACGCGTGGACAGTTGTCGCGTCCGGTGGCTACGTTCAACGACACAAGTTTGGACAGGATCGACAAAGAGCGGCCGCACCGTCAAGTAAAAATGCAAGAGCAGTCCGTTCGCATCCATGGCGACGAGGAGGCGCGCTTCGGTGGCAGACATATCGGGGCTGAGGCGGCGATGGCGGCAGTCGTCGCCGTAGTACAAGATCGCTTGGCGCCAATGCTCCGTCAAGGTCGAGTTCCAAATGTCCAACCGCAGCGGAACGTGAAGAAAATGACCCATCATGTGAACGTTCAACGGGGTGGACACGGCGGAAGACGGCGTGCCGGAACGCGATGGCGACGACGCCGTGTGCTGGGACGGGCGAGGCGTCGGTGGGGGCCGAGCCGTCGTGGTGGTGGGGGACGCAATGCACTGAAAGACCAAGTACACGATGTGTTGGATGCATCCGTGGATCGAGAACGGCTGGAAGAGGCGCGGAGGGTTCATGTAGTACAGAAACCAGAGCGGCCCGCGATGCCATCCCCACGCCAGGGTTGACAGCACGAGGTAGATGATCGCGACCATGAAAGAGATGTGGAAGTACAACGACGCATGGAACGCGTACTCGAGCTAGACACATGACGTCCTTGAGAAGATCGCGCGGGAACACGATCCGCCGACGACGTACCAACGCGAGCTTGACCACGCAGTACAAACATCCGACCACAAAGCGCATGGGGAGCGACAGGAAGGGCACGCGCGTGCCGCGAAGACAATGCGCGGCGATCGACAGCCACAGAAACGTCGCCAACGTCTCGGTCACGAGAAAGTAGAGCGCAAAGAGGTGCGTGTCCAGTTGGGTGTCGACCTTCGCGGCGTTGGGTAGGGGCGGGCCCCAGATGTGGCTCGCGGTCGACGATGTATTGGAAGGGCGGCATTGATACGAGTGCTTTCCGTTCGCTCGTGAAGGATGGACAAGGTAATGCCGCGGGTCAAACGGCCCGCGTCGGACCATCGACCGGAGGAACTTGCCCCATGCCATGGGTTTGCGAGATGGAGGCTTGGTCGGGGTCTTTTATGCGAGATGAGTTAGCCAATCACATGCGCTCGAACATCTTCACCAGCCAATCAAATGGTTCCAAGTAACCGCAACCGGATCGCACAATCCTGAGTTCGTAGGACTAAGACGATCATTTCCAAAATATTATGCAATGCTCATATGAAGAAACTATTGGAAGCAACTCTTTCATTTGTGCAACGTCCATTCTTGTGCTTACCCAATGCAACATATTGTATGCATGAGAAACTTGACGTTTTAACGGGGAATGGTGCCGGGGGAGTTTGCATACCTTTGATTCGATCATATAGAGCATTTATTGCAGTAATTGCAGCTTACATACCATGTCCACCCCAAGCGGACATTTGGCACATGTGCAATAATGTGCATGCGACTCCTCTGCCGACAATGGCCGGTGCAGGGAAACAACCTCGACGAGCGCGGGCGAGAATTCTTTCAAACGATTGTGTGGTTCACGTCAGTTTAAGCGACGACGTTCATGTCGATGTGACTTGGGTTGTCGCGGTTGACGCTTCAACGTCTTCGCGCATGAGCACAACGTCGTGGGGTTTGAAACGCGGCTTGTCCAGTCGAGCAGCGGCTTGGGTCGCTTCGTGGCTCAACACGTCGACACCGTCTTCGCCGACACAGCGGTATCGAATGTTCTTGCGGAACCCCATGAACGCAAATGCCGCCAACATGGCCGTACAGTGCCAAATCGAGTGGATCTACCGCAACCCTGTCAACATTTTCACGGAGGGTGGCACCGAGTCGTCGTGTACCAGCCAGTACGAATGGCCCGATTCGGTGAAGAAGCACCCAAAGGCGGCACCCCACAGCACCGCGCCAAACACCAAGAAGCGAAAGTCAAAGTTGTCGCTGTACAACACAAACCGCTTCAACGTCCTACACCACGTCAAAACATCCCTGCGACGGCGGCGGCGGCGGCGTACTGGAACATGGTCAAATGCAGGCGGTGTCTGGCCATCGTCAACTACGACAGATCCCATATCATCAGGCGATGGTGACGCCGCGTTGTTGCGTACGTAGTAGCTCCACGTCGCGACGAACTGGACCGTGATGACTCCGCCCAGCACGATCCAATTCTTCATCGACGTCGCGTTGTACGTGGTCATGAAGACGAGCGCGACGAGCACAAACACTTGCATGCCAGCCTACACACGCACGATGAAGCTACACTGACCGTCCGTTGTGGACACGACCGTACCTTGGCATGCTTGAACGCTCCAGAGAGATGGATGAACCCGAGCATGATGGCGTTGAAAGTAAAGGTAAAGTCCATCGATTGCAGAAACGCGTACGGAAACATGCAGTACAAGTTGAGGTCGCATGCGTGGTACACGCCAGATATCACGCCCAGCGCAACAAAGAGCACCGCTTCAACTACACGCCGCACACCCCACGGCGATGGCATCCTCGTCGGCCACCCAATGGATGTCGTACCGTACAACCTGCGCATCCACGACAGAATCGCCGCGGGCAAGATCGCTGCATTCGACAGCAACAAGAGCCACGTCCGTCCCGACCGCTATGGCGTGTGACCATTGCGGCAGCGATTCCCGAGCCGACGTACCTCGCGAGGGGTGTACACAAGCGAACTGCAATCGCGGCCGCCATAGCCGTACGCGCACTGGCACTCGCCGTACACGATGCCTTGGTACGACGTCTTGACGAGGCATGTGCCGTGGTTGCTGCACACGTTGCGAGGAGGGCACGCGTTTGTTTGCAACTGGATCGCCACGCCCCACTCGCGTTGCGATCTGCGCCATCCATTTGGTGACCTCTCGACGCCAACCACGGGACACGTACGGGGTCGATGGCACGGTCGGCGCGACGATGATGTACCAGTGGCCGATTTTGGGAAACACAATCGGAGGAAACTCGAGAAAGGATGGCGCGGTCATCGTCGTTGAGTTGGGCTGTTGCCGCAGGGCTTCGAACGACTGGACAGACGGGTCGATCGGGTCGGTCGCGGAGCCCAACGTCCCTATCGGGCGCCCTTGCGACGCATCGAAGCTACATTCGTTCCAACCGATGAGCTGTCGACGCAGCGCCGCCGTGTCAGGGTCAACCTGTAATCGAACAACGACGCCGTCGGCCATCCATCGACTCGGATAAACACGGAAAAGTTGGCCACATGCGCGGTCGTCGCCAAGTGCACGACAACAGACGTGCCAGCGTACATCGGGTCCACTTGCACGTCGTACGCCACCTGCATTCGCTTTGCAATCGTCACCGAGACACGCCGATTGTTCGTACCAATGCGGTGTGGGTCATGTTGGGCTTGGACGGCTGGCTGGCGCTGAAGGCTGCGTCCACGATGTAGTCGTCGACCGGGTTGGCGGCATCGCGCAGTTGATTCAGAGGTGTCCATGACGCAGGGCACAGCTCGTTCTCGAACGAATCGCATTCCTACGCGGCACTGCCTCAACGTTCCATGCGCCGCATCGTGTACCTCGGTCGTGCTCCACGTGACCGTCAATGGAATCCCGCCCGTGTTCTCGCTCAAGTCGTCGTTGCACTTGCCAACCGCGGCCGAGTGCCGCTGCAACGCGACACCCACGATCCATCGCCTACGCGTGTGTCATTGCCTCGACACACCCCGGCGCCGCCGACGAACCCCACGAGTGGCCGCATCACACGGAGCGTTCGAGTGGCTGACGTCGCGTTCTGAACTGCATCGCTGGCCATCGGGTTGGCTGCGTTCAAGTACAGCCCCCATACGACGACGTTGGACGGGTCGTCCACGTCGAGCGTCACGTCCAAGTATGCGGCTGGTTGCACCAGCTCAAACGAAAACAACGACGGGTTCGAGACCGTGTCAACACACCCACGGCCGTCGCTGCTGCCGGTCGCTTGTTGTTGAGGCGAATGGATGCGGCGGCGGGGCAGGGGAACCGGCGCCGTGGCACAAGACGAGCCTGTGACAGGTCAACGCTGCCGGTCCAGAGTTTTCGGTCCGTACCAAGCATGTCCACCACATGACAGGAACGAAACGTAAAATCGAGGTACCACCACATATTCGTGGATGGCCCGACGCCAAAGTTGTTGACCGAGCCGTGGACGTTGCCGCCCCACACCATGGCGTAGTACCGTCCGTGCTGGAACAGTGCATTCCGTGAGGTTGGAGCGCTTCGGACAAAAATGCCACCTCACCTCGAGATTTGTCAGTGATGCCATCACGTACGGTTGTTGGTGCGACGTATTGAACGCCATCTCGAACGACGTTTCGGTAGCAAACCGATCCTTCTGGAGGAACAGCGTCGGCGGCACGCGTGCGCCCAGGTCACTGAGGAGAAGCGACACATCCACGGCGAATACACCACGAGGGACTATAAGCATCCATCCTGGTCAAGCGCGGGGTCGTTGTCCGCAATGGTTTTTCGTACCGTCGACGACGAAGTACTCGTACGAGTCAGCTTTCACGCGGCCATACTACGGACACATCCACGTTAGGCACGTCAGACGCAAGAAGCGCAGAGTACGAAGTGCGTGATCCATTTCTTGTCAGCGGGGGCGGCAGTTATCGTAGTGGCGACCAGCATCGTGACCAGCGCCACGAATGACCAACATGCACCAATGGTTGTGATGGGTCGAACAAGTCGTGCCATGGCGAAGACAATTGAATACTGCAGCAACAAGAAGATGGCGTCCCACCGGCCGGCGACACTTCCTGCGGGAGTTTCGCCTGGCGAGAACACGCACCGAGTGACCTTCTTCCACGAAACGGACATCACATTTCGTCGACTACATGCGTCCTGCCGCCCTGTGTGTGTGGATTACATCCCCTGCATGTGGACGGGCTCATGTGCCATGTGTGCATTCGTCGCATTGTGGCAGAACTCTTACCCGCTGGATCAAACTCCCAGGAACAGAATGACATTGTACGTGCACGCCTGCTCAGCACGTACAGGTGCCATTCCTTCACATCTCAATGGCTTCGTTCGTGCGCACCGCTTCATCTAATTCAGTACGACGTAGCCCGGCCATGGCCGCCGCCTGGACCGTCAACTCCATCGTCGCGTGGGTCGTCCACGGTGTTGGCGGCGCCGACGGTTCTGGTGATGGTCGCGGCAGGATTTATTTTATTCTATACAAACATCAAGGTCCATTTGACATCGTGAGAATCAATTGTCGTCGCGAATTGAATGTTGGAGCCGTCGGATTGGCTGAAAATCCGTGGATTTCCTTCGCCGCGACTCGCGCATGGATTTAAAAATTCAATTCAGGACGGACAGCCATGTCGTACAACAAGTTCGGGAACGGCGGCCGCGGCGGGTATGGAGGCGGCGGGTACGGCGGTAGTCGGGGCGGTGGACGAGGCGGTGGACGCATCAACCGTATCCAGAACAGGGGACCGGGCCACGAAGTCTGCGCGTTTTACCTCGACGATCGATGCACACGGCCAACGTGCAACCACCCACACTTTGTCAAGCGCCTTGGCGTTGCCCACGGCCACACAAACGCTGTCAAGGATGTCGTGTTATGGGAAGGCAAGCAGCAAGCGTTCACGTGCTCAAACGACGGGACGATCCGTCTGTGGGACTGTGCCACATGGAAGGAAACCGCACAGATCCCCGTGTGCAACGTCGAATTGGACATTTTGCCGACGGAACGCGACAAGGTACGCGATTCACGTCATCGTGGGAATGCTCACGTCGTGTGGTGCTTTAGAAAAAGACGAGCGAAGGCATTGCGGCCCTCCATCTTGAAGGATCGCACTTGTTTGTCGGGTACGAGGAACCGATTCCACAACTGCCAGGATGTCCTGTGGGCAAGATCAAGTGCTGGAACTTGGACAACCCTTCGGCACCTCCCCTTGAGTTCATGGTACTGTCGTCTGCCTCCCTGCAGCTCGACCAGATCATCGATGCTGACTCTGCGATCCCCAACAGGTCAGTCCAGACATGCCGTTTGCGCATTACCGCAACGTGTGGGCGTTGACGGTGGCGAAGAACCCAGTGACTGGCGAACTGATTGTACTGAGTGGCTCTGGCGATGGCCGCATTCGGTACTGGACGTTTGACGCGGCCATGGGCTGCTTCAAGTGCGGCGGACTCATGGAAGGCCATTCCCGCGGGATCACACGGCTAAAGACAGTGCAGCTTGGCGCGACCACAGCGTACGCATGTCACCTGGCTCATTTTCGCGGGTCGTTGGACTGACATCGATCGAGTTAGCCTGATTTCGTCAAGTATGGACCACACGATCCGCATCTGGGACCTCGCAACGTTCAAGTGTGGCACAGTGCTGACGTCGGCCAACGAAGGCCATGCAAACGTCGTGATGGACTTGGACGTGTGGGTGAACGGCGCCGAGCAGTATTTGATCAGCGGCGGGCTCGACAAGCAAGTGATTGTGTGGAATTTGGCTCCCCCGTTTGCCAAAGTGTATGCGGACACGGTCGACCTCCCGATTCTGTCGCTGTGCATCTCGTCGGACGGCCAGGACGCGCCGCTTCTGCTCATGGGCCACGATGTATGCCGCATCGGCGTGATTGTTCTCATCGAAGTTGGTAGGACGGGTCGATTTCGGTGAAGGAACTGCCATCGTTCAACTACAAGATGGCATTTGGCAAAGTCTTGAACAACGTTGGCCACTCGCAGCCCGTGCGGCGAATCATTCCTGGCCCCCTCCACACGTTCTTCACCGTCAGTATGGACAACAAAATGATGGCGTGGCAAGTGACCGGCAAGGCGGCGGACATCCCGACGTCCAATTGAGTGTAGCAACGCATGTCAGCAGTAGAGAAACGAACCAAAACGATCGGACAAGTCAGTGGCGTGTGTTTGTGCAATATGTAGCAAGGTCTCGCCCGATGTTTCGTTGGGACAAGCGCCCACGTGTCTGGATGGCAGGAGCTGCTCCCTTTTGTGCTCTCCATGGCATTCGATCACGAACAAGCTGACACAGAGCTATCCAGGCACGTTCCTGTGGTCGTACAAGAAAATGTGAGGACGACGCAGGCTCCGTTGGCCACATCAGTGTGGCGCCGCCTCCACGTGATGTTGGCCTTTGCCGCGAGACCTGCCACAGCCCTCAGCACTTGCTGAAGTTTGGGGTGCAGTGGTACACTGTGGTTTGGTGGAGCTGCGGTTGCTCCAACGACGCGGTTGTTGCGCTTGCTCATTCGTGGCAAAACATCGTGCTTTGGAGCAGGCTGGTGCATTGTAAGCGCGGCTCGTCTGGGCACGGCCCGCGACCCACCTGCCGCTTTTCCAATCGGCACGAAACCAAAGTGGCAGTGCACGATGGCGACACACTTCTCGCCAAGGCACCGCCTGCAGTAAACACACGACCCGCGCTGCGCTGCAATGTGCGCATTTTTCTGGGTGGATGCTCTGTCGTCGGTCGCTGCGTGCGAGGCTAGAACGCAACTGAATGAACAAGTGCACTTTCTTCATGAAACATACACACTGAAGCGCAAGCACGCTTTTCTCTCCAAGTGGACGCTGCGCACCTTTGCTTGTCGAGTTGCTTCATGCACCACAACGCTCAGGCCATGACGATAGGACAGCTATCTGATGGCTCGGGGCCCATGTCTTCATGGGACATGGGCCGTCCATTTGCTGAAGTGTGGACATGCGCATGGTGGCGTCGCTGCTGACAAACTGTCTGCAGACGCTAAAGTGTCGAGCTCTCACCGACGACAACCTCTGCCCCCACCACGACTAGTGTCCACCACAACCTCCACGGGTTCTGGCCAGTGACTCAGCAAGTCGTCAACGACGGCGATTCGGACAGCCAGCTTTTCCCGTCGACCCGTGCGGTGCCCTTGAGGCAGTTCGCATCTGGGTGTCGTGCTGACAGTTGAGCTCACGTTGCTTGTGTTGAGAGTGATGCAGTTGCTGTCCATCCGGCAGCGAGGCTGCTCGAAGTTTGGCTCAAACCGTCCGGTCGATCATGCTCAAAGCATGTCTGCGGTGAGCCTTGCCGGCGAACATCCCATAGCAGCTCCTGCTCCTACCACACGATCGCCACGGCGCGAACAGAACGCGGGTTTCGTTCAGGGCAAGTCCACTCATTGACCCACGAGCCTCGCTTAACTTGCACTTTGTACCGGAACCTGCGCCTGACCATCCCGAAATCTCACGATGGATGCGTCAAACTCCCAGCAACTCGAAACACCAACGACTTGATTCCATCGCAACGTTATAGCCAGCACCACCATGTCGCAGCTGGACTCGCGCTCCGTGGTCGTGAGATAGCGACGCGCCCGGGTCACGCCATCAGTTGCATTTTGTCGTTCGAGTCGAGCGCCTTCCACGCGGCAACCAACGCATCGGCCAACGTATCGACTTCGCTTTGCACGTGATGCAGTCCAAAACCGAGCCGAAGTCGCTTGCCAAACCGAACATCGCAGTGACACACAACTGCCCCAGACATGAGATGTTGGTGGATTGCAGTCGCTTGGGAATGTTCCAGCACAAGTGCGCGCGACGTGTCTTCCGGTGCGAGGGTCGACCGTCGAGTTGGAATACTCACGGCCTCACCGACTTTGGCAAGAAAGTGGGCTTGCAACGACAACGTGTACGCATGTCGAGTGGCCAGGGTCCACCCCTGGTTCGCGTAGAATGCCTGGACATCATTGAGCTGGCGAAGGGCGTAATGAAATCCGGGAGTTCCTCCCGCAAAGGCTAGCTCGGGAGTGTACTCGAGAGGATGGGCAGGCGATGGCGGCGACTGTAGGCTCGCGGTGTGGGCAATCCATCCCGTGTTCAACGGACGCGTCCACGGCGAATGCGGCGAATACACGATAAATCCGAGGCCCGGACCTGCCGTACAGTGCTTGATGCCGCTGCCGACCACGACCAGCACCGGCGACGATCGCGGAAGTTGCATCGGGACGTTTTCAATAGCCTGCGCGACGTCCACAATGCACATCGAGTTGCCCTGGGTACACACGTCGACCACGGACGCAATCGCGGTGTCTGGTAAGCGGAACTGCGAGTTCGAATACACTGCGCTGACGTGGACGACATGGGGGCGGACGGCAGTGATTTGGTCGCACAACCGTGCTGCGAATGTCTCGACAGGCTGAAGCGGCACCTGGTGAACTTGGCAATCGCCACTGGCGGCTGTCCACGCAGCCAGTTGTCGGGTCAACGACACGAACTCAGCATCGCTCGTAACAACTTGGAGCGGTCGAGCAGTCAGACAGCTGAAGAGGCGCACAAGGAACTCGTGGACGTTGGCGCCAAAGTTCACGTAGTGTTCCGGCGACCGCAGTTCCGAGTTGTCCTCGTCGTCAGCCCGAACGACCGATTCGAGCCCAAGGGATTGGAGAATATAGCGCTCTGCCGTAGGAACATCGTGCTGGAAGAACGCCGACCAGACCTCGTTCAAGTCTCGACAGAGGAGGGCATGGGTGTGCTGCACACTCGCGAGTGCCACGTCTGGAGGCAGTCCCATGCCATACGTAGTAAAGTGCAACGTGCGGACAGGGTGCGTTGCCAGCGATCGGGCAAACGCTGGACGGTATGGGGAAGATGCTACTCGGCGTGGTGGCGATGGCGTCCGGCTCGTGCATGACATGGGTGACAATGGGTCGACACTGGACTGCCACAGCTTGCACTCGAGAGTTGCGTTGTCGGTAGCCACGACCAACTTGTGGTGCCGCACCTTGACGTCGTCGAATCGCGCTCGAACGATGCGGCCTTTCAACACTGGCGATTGGGCGTCACTGAGTTGCTGGGACATCACTTCCTTTGCCCGTTCGACACATATGTACCGATGGGTGGTCTTCCACCCGCGCTCGAGGGCCTTCACAGTCAGCTCTTGCGTCCCGGTTGCGCCTGCGCCAAGTACCATGATCGCCAACTGCTGATGACCAAAGTAAAATCGCCGGACGGCGTTTTCGAGCATCTGGACGGCCTGGATCAACTGGACAGCCTCCGCCGCTGGCGACACATGCGACTTGAACAGTGCGACGAGCTCCGATTGAAGCGGAATGTCCTCAACGTTCGATCGCACGTGGCTCAGTACGGCTACGACGTGCTGTAGGGCGGCCGGGTCAAACGTACCAGTGTACATGTGAGCATGAGTCCCCCATGGCAACAAGTGCGGGATCCGGGCCGTGAGTTGCCGAAGGCGGACGCTCTGGCCGCCGCTCGCCCCGTGCAAGTGAAATTTCAAGCTCAGGTAGTCGCGAGCGTCCATTTCGCTCAACATGGAGATGTGATCGATCATGTACTCCCAGCAATGCCCAGCCCATCGATACCGCCGCGCGATGCGCTGCATCATCTCTTCCACCGACCGAGTGTCTGCCACCGACGAGCCATGCACTGCCTTCAAGACATCGTCGACCTCGGCTTGCGCGGCGTCCAGTTGCCTCTCCATCACACAACACCACGCCTCGACGATTTGATGCACCGTGGCAAAGAAATGGTCTTCGACAAATTCGGCGTCTGCCTCGCGGCATTCCGTCCGGACATGACGTGGCAGGACGACGGCGTCGTATGGCACATGCTGCGCATGACTCGTGAGGATCCCCGGACCGAACGGTAGCCCTTGAAAATGGCACTGCACCAGGCACTGAATGCGGTCGAGGAAACTTGCCGCCGCCTACGGTTTGGATAGCTTATTGAGACTCGATCTCTCTGTTGACCAGACGCGGTACCGGTTGGGCGCCCCACCACGCGTGATGTGGCTGGGCTAGACTGTCGTTGCTTGCCGCCGTCGTGACGAGGTAGTCGTCTTCGTACGTCGCTGCGTTCAAGTCTATATCAATCATGGACCGCATGAGCTGGAGCTGCGTGTTGAGGTTCCGCGTCCATCCGTCCATGCGGTTGCTTTGGTGAACATACGCCCGATGCGGCGTGCGACCGCATAAACTAGAAATGTCGAAGGTACGTCAAGTCAACGGTGCTTGGAACAAGCAACGTACGACTTGTCTGGGTCGTCGATCTCTTCCACATTGACCTCCATAAAGTCGACGAGGAGCCGCATCGTTAACTCGATCGCGCCCAGGGCAGGGGCCAGTCGGTACAGCGGCCCTGGCGCTGGGGACCATGCGGTCGTTGTACCTATCGACGGCAACGCGTTCGCTTCGATCGGATCGAACGGCATCGTGCGCGTTGGAGACGTCAAGTGCCACAGCCCCCATGCCTTCTCGAGCTCGTGGAGTCGAATGTAGGCCGCATACGAGTTGCGATGAAGGGACTCGAGGTAGGCCGAGTACGCGCCAAGGGTAGCACTCGACGACACACGACCAGGTGGCGTCAGAGTCGCGGTGTTGCTTTCCATCGCTGGCGAATATACGACCCAAGAACGACCGGACAACGGGCCGTTTCGCTTGCCCCGTCAAGTTGAAACCGGCACCGTTACGTGGCGCCTGTTGTCTTGCGCCGGCACTCAACCACCCGCTACCGCACACGTGACGGTAGACCGTGATGTCAATTCGACAAGTGACTTCATGATTAGCCAGGTTAACGAGCACACTGTTCTCGACACTACGACGCGGTGAACGGCACGGTCGGCGACACTGTCATCCACCGGCCGATCCCCATGGCGGTCGACGACAATGGAATGCAGTTGCACTTTACTGAGACCATGCCGCGAGCTACATCCGACCGTCTCGCCCATCAATATGCAACACACACTCAAAGCACGTGTGGGCGGAATCGAGGCTCGGCCGACAACACGTCGCCTCTGCAACGGTATACGCGCGCTCCACGTCTTCGTGTTGTTGGGGTTGTGCAATTCGTCGTACATCACTACACGTCATTTCCAACAACGCAAAATCATCCACTTCACCAGCACTTGCCGCACACCTCGTCGAGTCAACGTAAATCGTTGGTGGATTCCATGCAACCACCTTCGTCGCAATGGGGGACGTCAAATCCTCATCCAGGTCCGGGCCACGTTCGCAATGCACGCGCAGGCGACTAGCACGGCGAAGTTGCTACCGGCGGCACCACTTGCTGTAGTTCCCGCGACAATGTGATCGAATACCACAATGATACATTTCGGTAGGGCCATCGTCGGGTCAAACTCTTCAGGTGGTGCAAGGCCCGTGCCATGCGATCAAATATAAAGTATATTTGCACATCAAGGCACGCACGGTTTTTCGTCCGTCGGGACCGCCCCTTTGCAGGTTATCCGCGGCGTTTTTGTCCAAAGCAGGTCGTCAACATGACGGTTCAGCAAGGAACCAGTCAATCGCCAACTCCCCGAGGCCCTTGGGGTGTACAATAAGCTGGGAGGCCCGTAAGCGCCGTAATAGGGGCAATCCCCGTCACACGGTCAGATGGGTGCCAGATTTGATGAGACGAAAGGCACCAAGCGCATTTCACTGCAAAACGTCTTGAGGGCCCAGACAATGACCCCATGGACACAACAACCACCGCCGCATTCGCCCACGGACCATGTGGTCGCGCGCACCGACCAGCCGAGAGACCGGTTGGATAATTTCGTTTGTAAACATGCGACCCACAGTCAGCACGTGGGACGCAGGTGCAACATACAACCGCCTCGCCCATCCATACACGCATAGCACGTGTTGGTGAAATCGAGGCTCGGCCGAGAACAGGTAGCGCGCCCTGCACCAGCAGCAGCACAGTCGCGTAGGGGCATTGTATGCGCGCTGTGGGCTTCATTCTTGGCGCGATGGTTGAGGCTGTTTTGAATGGATGCCCATTGCGTTGGACGACGTCGGCCATCGAACGACCTGTCGGGTGTTCATGGCGGCGGCGGTGCCTCCTTCAAACCGTCTAAAAGACTAGTACACCATGAGTGACAACGAGTTGCGACCTCACACGAACGGCCTTCAGTCGAGGCTGCAACAAAGAGAGCTTAAACAAGTGGCGACGAGCATCCAGGGAGTGATATGGAGCGCACACCGAAACGCCACGATATATATAGGACGACGTCGCAGTGCAACGACTCCATCATCCGCGAGCCCGCCCCAGCCGCCCCCTGGCTCCCTGGGCTGCGATGGCCGATGTTCGTACCGATGCATTTTGCTGGATGCTTACCTCGAACGTAGGACGTGCAGTATGCGGACGATGACTTCCAAGAGGAAAAGAGCCCCCCGAAACCCGTCACAATGGGGTATGCCTCTACACGTTGGCTTCCTTACGACGTTCCCTCGCTGAGAAGCTGCTTCCACAGGAACACCACGCTCATCGAAGCGGGAGCCCCCGACGCATCCACAGAGGTCGAATACGAAGACGACTACGACGAGCCAGACACCTCCCCCCTCGATGACGGCTATGACGATGACCAAGACGATGGCACGTTGACAGCTGACGCCGCCGCACCAACGTCCCCAGAGGGTTTTTACGATGGCGACGAGTTTGCCGATGCGCCATCGACAACTGTTGAGACGGCGACTCTCTCCCGTCCCGCGGCCCTGGAAGAATCGTACGGAGACAATGAATTCATGCAATCCTCGGGAGGCGAGGACTCTTCGCCGGCACTCCCCCCTGCAACCGCAACTCCGCCGGACATGGCAATTGAGGATTCATACAACGACCAAGACTTTGCACCTGCGGTCGAAGACGGCAAAGAGTCGAATCCAGAGACAAACTTCACTTCACCCGAGCCGAAAGGTGACGCGCCGTCGAAAGGCATCGATGCCACAGCGTCCGACGTGCCGAAGCCAGATAGCTTTGTCGATCAAGTCGAGAAGCCGGCAAACCAGGCGTCCGATGCCGCTGTCGGTGATGATCCCGAAGATACACAGTCTGCGGTCGTCGCGGAGGCAAATACGGTTGAGAATTCCTCTCCGGACAGCGTCAACACGCCAGTGCGCGAACCAACTACAGAAGCTTCCGCAGGGAGTAATCCTGTTCGTGACGAGGAGGAAGCGGCAGCCCCGGGCTCGATCCCTCCTAGCGGAAATCAAGAGCCCGTCGCAATGGTGTTCACTCCAGAAGTCGTTCAAACGGCTGAGCAAGAACAGCAGCCCGTTGCTGGACATTCGGACGGCACCGACCCCTGGCCAGATGAAGCTCAAGTTACCACGACAAAAGTGGACGACACCGCCAATTCACATCGCGAGCCCCAGGAAAGTCAGCCGCCTGTATTTTCCAACGAATTCGATCCTTCCCCAGTCAACAACACGGGTATTGAGCCCGAATCGAATGGAGGGGAGTTCACCGACTCGAGCGATCAAGCTGTTGCCGACATTACTAGTATTGTTCAGGACGACGCTGCCTTGAGTCATGGCGGCATTGCCGACGAGCCGCTTTCGTCGGATGACAATGCGCAAGCCGCGTGGACGACCTCAGAAGGCGTGACCAACACCGCTTCAGCTACTGAGCCTCCCCCTCAAGACGACGACAGGAGCGCCTACAACAAGCCCATCGACACCGTCGAAGTCGCTACACCTGCCACTGCCACATCGCCGATCGATCTCAGCGCTACGGCGCATGTCAGCAATACCGAAGCATCAAGTCCTGTCGCACTTGAGGTCGACTCAACTTTGCCACACGAGTCAGTCCTTGAGACAGAAGCTGTGTCACCGGCCGCCACCACCGTCACGTCCTTTGCTAAATCCGAGGCGCTGTTGACTTTCGACCATAGTGCTGGCTCCGAAGCATCACATCACGCACCACCTGAGGTAGACCTGCCTCGAACAACCACGTTGGAGTCGGCCGACGATGGTGACCCGGACGTCGAATCCACTTCAATGGGGCGAATGCCGCCGACTTCGCCAAATGACATGTTCACGGAGAATACTGAAAGTACGACGGAGGCCGCCTCAACCCCTGCAGAGGATTTAGCCGGTGATGGCGTCGACACAGAGCTGGACATCGCACCAACGTCGGCGTCGGCAAGCGGCGGAGATGGGCAACACTGCCGAGACAAAACGACGCCATCTTCTCCCGATGCAGCGGCATTTTCCGACGTCGCACGCGCCCGAATGCACCCTTCTCTAGACGCTCGCATTGCCACCCAACATGATGCGACCACCGACTACACGGCATCTGCGTTGCCTGGTACCGACGACAGTGGAAGTGAGCCCGCTCCAGCGACAGCACCAGTCGCGATCGACCTACCGAGTGATGCGGCCTTTACTGTACCTGAATCGACCGATGCCGCGTTGGCATCACTGTTGGTGTCGTCATCGCGTCCCGGCGACGGTAGATATGAACAGAAGAGCATGTTTGACGAAGAACGGTACATGGGCGGTGGTGGCGCCATTCAGTCCGAGCTAGACAGCGAGATTCGTTTGGGCACAGTTGCCAAGGACCCACAATGTTCCAACGCGCCCAAGGACCACGCTGCGCACGACGCTGCACTTGCCGTGAAACCAGACACAGTTGCAGGGCCATCGACCTCTCCAGCCCTGGAGGACTCCATGGCTGCTTCAAGCACCGGACAAAATGTTGAGCCATCCAAGACAGGCCAGGATTCAAAGGCGCAACCACCGTCAGTGCCAGTCAAGAAAATGAGCAAACTCAAAACGAGACTGCCCCCTAAGCAGCCATCCCTTGCACCTCAGTCTACCCCGATTCCACCAAAACCCCGCCCGCCGCACCAGCCCCGAAAACCCAATGCCCCCCACATGCCTACCGGCCCCGACTTGAGTGACCCAGTTATGCCCCCGCTGGATTCGTCTGGTGGCATGGTATTCCATTCGCCGCAAAAAGACTATAGACCATGGCGACAAGAGGCGAGCTTCCCCTCTCCTGCGCGCGCTGGCGCGAAAAAGAAAAAGGTAAGCGCTGTCGCGTTTGGGTTGCAGCGATCTGAGCTACTCTCGTGATGTGGCAGGCACGGCCACCGCAGCAGGCCGCCCCATCGCCCCCCAAATTTCACTTCGATCCCAAAGTCGACAAGATGAAAGAAGAGTGGCTCCTCCTTAACATGTTTCGCCAAGGCGACGCGTCCAAGTACGAAGCGTTTTGCACGGTCCACAAACCTGTTGTGACGTCGACGGCGCGGCATCACCGACCGTCAAGTGCGGATCGGAGCCAGGCTCGCACACACTCGGCGCGCCGGCTCGTTGTCCCGCCCAAGCAAAAGCAGGAGCTGCACACGCTCCAAGCACGTGAACGCAACTGGGTCGTGGACGGCAGCGTCAAGGATACCGCGATTCCAGCGTACGATTCGATTCTGGACAAGTATTGCCACACAATCACGAGCCCGGTCGTCCAAAAGCAGATTTACAACTCGGTCGATTTGTCCCCACAGCTCGCTTACGTCCTGGAGAAGCGCATCCAGGCCACACGGCAAGCCGAGATGACGTTCGCCATGGACGATCACACGTACGCCAAAGCGTACAAACCGAAAGCAGCCGACGTGGCGCGGGCACCGACCAAGCCGAGCCCCCGCCTGCACCCACCGAATTCCAATACCCCCCTCGCCAGCGACCTTGTGTCCATAAAATGGACCACAGTCAAGTCCGTTGATAGCAACGAGTAGTAATTCAATTCCAGTCCGCTCTTGAATGCTAGCGCACGACGGCTACGCGTGCAGCTCCCACGTCTCGTTGGTGGGCGGCAGCTCTAGCGAGGCGGCAGTGATGTGCCACAGCACCAATTCCGCAACCACGACGACGACATCGGGTTCGTCCGCGACAACCGACTGGGCCGTGGCGGCTGACTCGTTCAGTTGGTTCAGGTTCGCTGCGTCCAACGTGCCACGGTCAAGCATCCACCGCATTTGAGTCGCGAATGCCGTGAAACACTCGTTTGGCGACGCACACCGAGGCAATGCCGAGGACCGTTAGCGTCCCGAGGAATCGCGTTCAAACTCCGACGCCACAGGTCAAGGTCGGGACATCCGTTCTCGGACTCGTCCGGCCGCGCCCGCAAGATGCTCCGCGCGGCATACGTCGTGCCTGTTACGCGAACGTTGCTAAGCCACGATCGCAACGATACCGCGATCGAGCCCAGCTTGCAGGATCATGCAAGCGAACGAGCGTCATCGACGCTTGGCATCGAAGTTTGGGTAGTGAACGATCGATCAAAGACGTTTACAAAGCATGCCAGCTACACGATTTCAAGGTGCCACCGTCCGTCGAAACATCACGTTGACGTTGGACACGTGTTGGACACAGGGCAAGGTGATAAGCGGGGACAAATGGACGGCTGGAAACGTACGAGATGCAAAGGATCGACGCGAGCGAGGCTAGTCGCATGAAGGGCACCTCGTGCCGAGCCCTAGCACGCGGACAACCTGTCCACGTCACCCGGTGTAGTTGCGAGCGCAAGTGGCATCGCCAACGTTGTGCCCATACAGCTCCACGACGGTCGAACGGCCGTTCGTGTTGACGGGGGTGTTGTCGATGCGTCTTGCAGTGGGATGGGCGTGCGCGCCGCGAGAGACTTTGGTCGGCACAGACACGGTCGAGAGTCGTTGGGGCCACCACTGCCTCGTGGTGGACACCGTTTGCAGTTAGTAAAGGACCCAGACACAGGGGCAAGTTGTCTCAGCACGCCCGGCGGAGGTGAGGATATGTATGTCGCTGAAATTCTCGAGTAACGATGAACCTAGCACGCGATAACGTTGGTCGTGAGCTTGGCATCGCGAAAGTGTCTTCCGCCACAGACTGTGAACGAGTCCGCGGGCGAGGCAGACAACCAATGCCGCGGAGGATGGAAAGTGTCGGAGGCCCACGTTGCCCACCGCGACCGTGCCGTCGTGACTCTTCAAGTGGCCAGTGATGAAGCTGCACGACACGCTGCGCTCGGGCATGGCTTCCGCCGCAGCTGGCCGTTCCATTCACAAGTCTCTTTGCGCGACGACGACTTTGGCGCCGCTTGTACAGCTTCCACCTTTGAACAGAAACACAGGCAGCTGCGCTGTTGCAAGAACTGGGATGGTCCTCGTGAGGGCGTCGACGACAGCGGCGCCAACCGACAGTCGCGGCCCGTTGTTGGACAGGTGAATCGTATGGATGATTTTGTATCCAATGGCGTGAAGAAAATAAGACGCGTTGCACGTATGGGATGCATCTGCTTGCGTCGCCACGATGGCAGGGCTCGAATGGCTTTTGCTCCTGCGTCGACAGCTTGAATGGAGGACCAGCACGAGCACCTGCCGTCATGCGACTCCTCACAAATGCCAGCAGTGCGCCGTCCCCATGTGCACCGCGTGGACGCCAAGTCCTCGAGTCCCAAGGCCGCATCGAGCACCCACGTCGAGGTCGCTGCCGTGCTCGTTGAGCCACAGCATGTCTACCACAGACTCCAGCACCGTTCGACCGTGGTGCATCCACCCCAGCTCGTGAGACATCGTGTATTATATAAATGTAGCCACGTCCACGTCCTGCATTGGTCGCCGCGTCGTCTAACTCTCGTCCACTTCCTCGCTGCTTTCCACGTCGTCGTGGGCAAAGTCCGAGATCTCAGAGATGACCAAGTTCACTTCTGGGTCCATGTCGGTTCCGTCATCGTCGTCGTGGAGGTCCTCGGACGTCTGGTGTTCCAGCAGCGTCGGGATCGGCGGACGATCGTCGCTCGAAAACGTTTCTTTGACTTGAATCATCAAGTTGTACGCTTCGTCGCGCACGCCCTACAGCCACACAATGCCATCATCATGCGATCGATCGTCGAGTCGGCAACAAAACACAATCGATGGTGGCGTCGCCGTCAGGCATGCCACCAAACACAACGAATCGTCACGACCCACGGCGTCGATGTCATCAAAACGACGTCAACCCGATCCAGTTGGCCTTTGTGCACCGCCATACACACGGGACGAGATGCGATGCCGTACCCGTCGTTCGTAGCAAAAGCTAAACTCGTCAAAGTGGTGGTCGTGGGCAGCGACGCCGCCTTTGGACGGCGGCGGGACGCCAATGCACGGCGTGTCGTCGAGCGAGTTGACGTTCATTTTTCGAAAGTGTTGCGACACATGGTCAAACACGTCGCGGGAGAGCGGGACGTACGGCGGCGGCACTTGCTTCTGGAGGAGAAGGACCCAGTCGATGGTTGCAAAGAACGGATGCGCTTGGATTTGCGCAAACGTGAGTCGCGTCGACGGGTCGCGCACGAGCACGTGCTGCAGCAAGTCCACTGCGTCCGAGTCCAAATTGAAGTGGTTGGCATATCTACGCCGATGACCCCCGTGAGACGGCGACCCATCGTGTTCATGCCCACAGGCATCCGCGACGAACGAATCGACATGAAATCGGGACGTACATGACGTCGGCTTCCGTGATCTTTCGATACATGACCGATACGTTGTGGTCGTGGAAGGGCGTCGACCCGTACAGCATCTCGTACAGCATCACGCCCCAACTCCACCAGTCGGCGGCGTACCCGTACGTCGGGTTTTGCGTGCTCAGTTGCTAAAGCAGCGCGAGGCGGGTCAGCCAGCCACGGACAAAAGTCGCACCTCGGGCGCAATGTATGCGGGGGAACCGGCCAACGTCCCCGTCGACTCTTCCTGGAACAGTTGCTTGGATATGCCAAAGTCGACGAGGCGAATGTGACCTTCCTGGTCGAGCATGATGTTGTCGGGCTTCAAGTCGCGGTAAATGATCCCGTGCGTGTGCAAGTACGCGAACGCCAGCGCGAGCTCGGCCGCGTAGAATCGCGCGCGTTCGATGGCCAACCTACCACCATCACGTCGTCATCGTCATGCACACAATGGTTGCGATGGCAAAACGCTATCAACGCTCCCCATGGCAATCGAATGCAGCCACATCTGCCAACGATTATTCGAGGCCATGCTATCGTGGTCGGGAAGAACGATCGATTTGCCAAGCTGCGGGCACACACAAGCTCAGATCCATATCGCAAAGTGAGCTCAAAGCAAGAACCACAAGCACACATCGCACGTCCGTCGACGTGCATCGAGACGACCCTCCAACAGACGACGTTGCAAGCGCATGCATCGGGACGATGGATCTGTGGACGAGTCGGCTTACCGCTTTCCGCCGCTCGTTTCGACGCACGTGCCGTCCGACATGGTCGCGGCGTGCATGTGGTAGTACAGGTTGCCTCCCGTGTAAAAGTCGAGGCCCAAGAACAGCTTGGACTGCGTTTGAAAGGCAAACCGGAGTCTTGCCAAAAACTAGCATCACGTGTCAGCCATCGGACGCTCACGACGAACACGGGTACCGGGTGGCGCAGCGTCGACAGAATGCGCCGCTCCTTGAGAGCGCTCGCACTGCCTTGGCTCTTTTCCACGACTTTAATTGCAAACAATTCTTCATCATGCAGCGACTTGCGCTGCACCAGCACGACCGTGCCAAACCCACCTACGTTCAGGGCGACAAATCGACCGTTTTTGAGACCGAGACGGCCCACACACACCTTGGCCGAGGACGCCAAGGATGGACAAGTCGCGAAAGCTCAGCAGCAACGACCGCTTTGTTTTGTAGCAGAGGTGAAAATTCTGCGGGTGCGACTCGAGAGTGTACAGCGTGCGGCTGCCTACGGCACACGCTTGGTTGAGCCCACGTCCCCACGAATGACATCATCCCGGCGACGTGACGATTCCGGTGCAGCTCCACGTCAGCCACGCAGACAAAGCACATGCAAAACATGCACCAACGCGCCAACCAGCCATTTCACGTACGGCCGCGAGACGTCGGCACGGGCGCCTGCGACTTGTCCTGCTTGAAGTAAACGCTGAGGCGCGAAATGCGGCCGGACGGCGAAAAGTTGAAGCGGACGTGGAGCCGTCCGGGAATAGATTCCTTGGAGCTGAGCCGCGTGATGAGCTGGCCACCAACGAGTTCGATGATGTCCGGGTCCTTGGACGTTAACGTTGGTGCATTCGTGGCGGATTCGACGAGGGCGAAGCACTGCCGGAAAAGCGACACAAAATGGACAAATCCTTCGCGCGCATAGTACACGCCATGGCAGAACGCGTACTTGGCTGCGTCGAACGGGTCGAAGTTGAATTTGAGCTCGATGTCCTGGCTCAAGTGCTGGATAAAGAACGGCAGGGCGTCCATGAGGTCGGGCACACTGGTGTCAGACAGGACGTGGACGAGCTTGGCTACGACGACAACATGTTAGACCCAGGCGCCACATGGATGGCACCGTCGCGACGCGCGACACTGCAATGCTTGAAACCAGGTCACTCATGGCCACCCAACACCGCCCACCGATCGATCCATGCATCCACAATTCGGAATTCAAACCGGCACCCAGCATCGTGTGCACGATCGCGTTAAGGGAAGCGGGCCTGCCGTCGTGCGATCAGCACGTTGTACCGTCCAACGAAACGTAGGACAGCAAACGAGTGGAGCGCGGGTGGCCAGCGTCACCATGCCAAAATGGCCTTAACTCCTTGACGTTCTTGCCGGCATGGCGCACAACACCGCGACGTAGTGGATCGATGGCCATCGCCACCCACGCTTGTCAAGCAACCCAAAACGCAGCACAAAGAGAAAACACCGTGTGCACGGGATTCAGTCGCGACGACCACGCACCGTAAAGCAAGACGGACGAGTCCGTATGGTCCAAGTGAAAGAAGCTTTCGCTAGGTCGACTAGCCTCTTCGAGCCCGACAGCCACGTTCGCTTGGATCTTCGCCGTCGCACAGCACTTTTGCAGCATGTGCATCCACATTCCTACGTAGTTCAGAGCATGGAGTGAGTGTGCAGCGTCGGATTGGCCACGTACCTCGCTCGGTGGGACTGATCGCCACGAAATGCAAGACCATATTGTTGGTCGTGACGATGCTAAATCCGAGCGTAGACGCGTGTAGCTTGGACCCACCAAACCCCGTCGACGGAATCGTCTTGAGGACGTCGGCCACGGTCCATGACCCGCGGTTTTGCGTGCGCTCGACCGCATGCTTCTTGCTCTTGTAGTAGCTGATCAAGCCGTCCTTGAGGGTCACGTAGCGCGGCGTCCACGTTTTAACGATCTTGGACTGCTTGTACAGGTAACCTTCCCACTCGACCTCGGTCGTCGGACATGTGACGTCGATCACGCTGGGTTTACTCTTGTCCAAGACCGACGCGACGCGCTGACCAGGTCCTCCAGGGCGTGTTTGCACGCCCGTCGAGGCCTGCGTCGACGAAGATGATGCTGCGGCCGAATCTCGCGCGCCGAGGGTCTTGAGTGTAGTCAGTCGGTGCGCAAATGACATGGCGGAGGGCGGCAGCCGACGACTCACGTGACAGCCTTTGTATGATTTGATGCGGTGCGAATTACCGCGACAAAAATTGAAAATTACTCCACCGTGATTTTTTGCAATTATTTCGAAAGCTTGAAAAATCGAGAAATTGATTTTTCTAACCAAGTTTGGTCGGTGACGTGCCAGAACGGAGATCTTGATGTTTGTATAATACCATGTTATCCGTATGAAGATAAATCTGAAGGTTTGGACGAAACCTGCTGAGATTGGGTTAACTCACATGCCAATATAGATTACCATGGTTATTTATATTGAATCCGTTTAAATGTAAAACGTCTTATGGCCACTGGGCAGGTGTTTGGAGGAGTGCATCGTCGGCATGGAGTTTCCGGATAAAATGTACCTCTCAAAATATGCGTAATTGTGGTGAGTGTTATGTTTTGGGAACATTTCCGGATAATGCTCTTCAA